CGTGTACTTCCAAACTTTTAATTCTTACTATCCACTCAGGACATATTTGTCTTCATGTGTTTGAAAGACAAAAAATACTTTGTAGCTCTTCTCTCCTCATATGCTTGCAGGTCTGTGCTCCAAACGACAATCTGTGCTCCAAAGCAAGGATATAAGCAAATAGAAATAACTGCCACTTGCTCAGATTCTTGTTTTCTCCTTTGCTCCTTCCCTGTAGCAACAATCTCAGCAAATATAACCTCTGGCCAGTCATTCTGCATGTATAACCTCCAGTCGCCACTTCAGACTTACAGACTTTCGGAAGTCAAAATCCTGAATGCAGCTTAATAGTTTTTACTGCCATCTTGACAGAAATCTAGAGCCAAGTCTCCAGTGCACTCTACACCACCTGCACAAGCCCACTTATTCCCTTGGACCAGGAAATAGAAAGCATTTCACGGAATCACAGAATTATTAGGATTGGAAGGGACCCCTGGAAATCATCTGGTCCAACCCCCCCAACAAGGCAGGGTCACCCAGAGCAGGTGACACAGGAACATGTCCAGATGGGTAGGTTTTGAATGTCTCCAGAGAGGGAGACTCAATGACCTCCCTCGGCAGCCTGTTCCACTGCTCTGTCACCCTCAAACGTAAAGAAGTTCTTCCTCATGTTGAGGTGAAACTTCTTGTGTTTTAGTTTATGGCCATTGCTCCTTGTCCTGTTCCTGGGCACCACCACCAAGAGCCTGGCACCGTCATCTTGACACCCACCTTTGAGATATTTGTATGCATTAATGAGATCCCCTTTCAGTCCTGCCGTCTCTAGACTAAGTCCAACTCCCCGAGTCTCTCCTCATAAGAGAGATCAAATGCTTTTCCTGATGTTCTTCAAGCAGCATCTCAGAGTAGGGACCAGTCTGCCATGTAGAAACAGCGCTCAGCTCCAGGCTGAGCTTTGCCGGAGCCAGTGGTATAGACTGAGGTGCCCTCTCTGGTCTAGGGCCCAGGTCCCCATGGCACCCTGTGGTGTAGTGAAATGTAGGAGGCAAAGGGAACTCGATCATGCTCCCTGCATCTCCCCAGGAAGAGGTTCCATAGATCACTGGCAGGGAATACAGGGGGAGAAATGTCTCCTTTTTCCCACATCAGCAATCGCCCTCAGTCTTCTCATTTCTGCCACTGGGACAGAAGCTCTCCCTATCCTCCTCTGACCTGAGAAACATTTTCCTTGTAAAACCCCTCACTGGTTTAAGATCTCTGGCAGAAAGCTCTCATGTGCACATTTGTCCCTGGCTGCATCTCCCTCTAGACAATAGAAAGAGGAAGACACTTCACGAATTAATAAGTCTAAATCAGTTTACTCCAAAAGACAGCCCTATGCAGAGGGTATCTCTTCCTTTCTGCCCTTTGTAAACATGATTTTCAGGTTCCTGTATAGCCTCTGGAGCTTACTTGGAATGGGAGGTAGGATGGTGGGGATGGGAATGTAGAGCCATTTGAAGACTTATCGCACTTGTCCCCAGGCTCCTTTCTTTGAATACACCACAAATGTTTTACTTCAATTCTCCAAAGCCCAATGAGATGCAGGTTATTAATTCATGACTATGACAAGATTATTATGGTTAATTTAACATGTGCAGGCACTTAACTAACTACTGTTGGGAAATATTTGTCATTAATTCAAAAATTTCCTGCCTGTAATTTGGCAGATATAGAAGAGTGCAGCAGAAATCCAGCGTGACATAAAGAGCGCTCATCTGTCATCACCTTTACATGTGCCTGTACAATGCTTGAGCTCTGCCTGATTTAAATGAGCACAACAAAATGTATTGCAGCATTCACAGATTAAATGGCACTGGCATTCAAACTCTAGAAGGAGCCCAGACATAGGAAGTGGAACAGAGAAGCACACAATCTCCCCCTGGGGAGTGAAAGGGACACCATTTGGAGAGAGGGTAGCAGAGCACTGTTCCTAATCAAAGCTATGCAAATGAAAGCTGCTTGCGTGGGCTTTCCTCCCACCTCCCATGGGTCTGCCATGATTCCTATTGAGGCAGGTGGTGCAGACTAAAACCAGTAAAGAGGTTTTATTTAGGAGCAACCTGTCTCTCAGGCATGGCACAGACCTTCAAGGTCATCTCAGCATTCCTGGGAACTCCTTGCCTCAAACTGCTGTGCTTTGCTTGCTTTCCCAGGGAGGCTGATGAAAAACCTGTGTGCACAGAGCTAGTTACAGCAACAAATTAAAGCTCATGTCCAAAGTGACCAATCTCATGGCACCTTTGAAGTGTCCCAGCATTTCTTGGTCTTTTCTGATCCCTTGGGCAGGTCCAAAGGCAGTGATGAATCATTTTGCCCACAAAGGCTCTTTACCTCTGTGTTTTTGCAAGATCTATCACTATCATATGCATCCCCGACCTATCAGGCCCTTTCTAGTACAGGGACTGCATGCACAGCCTGGACTTTTTCAGTTCTCTCATATGGTAAACTCTCCTGAGGAGCAGTATATTTTGGTACACTTAAATCTTTGAGCTTCATATAGGTGTTTCAGGATAAAATTTGGGAACATGCTACCAGGGGGAATTTCCTGAGCATTGAATCCCCTGTTGTTGCTGGCAAACACTCCACATAATCCCTTCACAGGCTGCTTAAAGTCTGATTTTGAAAATTATTCAAATTCAAATGCTATTCAAGAACTTTGTAACTCTTATGGTTAGAAATTCCCAGACTAAATGACTAGTCTATACCTGTTTATTTTTGTGTCAATGCGATACATTCTTTGTAACAGCTTTTCTGTTCTGCCAGGGGTATTTAGCAAAGATGGCCATCTCCCCTTTCAGCCTTCATCTGCAAAGCCAAACAAGCCATGGCACCTTAACTTCCTCACAGAGATAAGCTCTCTATTATCCTGGCCATCTTACTTACCCTTCTTTGCACCCACCCTACTCTGAGCTCATCTCTTCTGGCAGTCAGATGTCCAGAACTGGACACTGGATCCCAGGCAGCCTCGATAGCTAGATGACACAAAAGTCATTCTTGGATTTAAGCTCTCCAGCTCCTACTTAAGCTTGCACATGTTGACAGACAAACACAGAGGAAAGCATTTACCTGCTGCCTCTGGTCTGCTCTCTACTGCAGAGTCCAAGGACATGTTTGAGCTATTTACTATCAAGAAACGCTATTCCGTGCAAGGACAATGTTCCAATAACCTCCCCAGACTTGGCTCTTTTCTATGTCCAAGCACCCAGATGCTGATGCTGGCTGCCAATGCCAGACTACAGGACCCATTCCAGCTTCTTTTCAAACCCCGAAGTGCCGGCATACGCTCCTTTGGCTGGATTTGCAAGGGCCCGGCCATCTGTGTATCTGCAGAGTGTCTCTGGTGTAGGTATAACGTGAAACATTTAGCCCTTCACATGCAGTTGGCAAATATACTAGCTCAAGCCTGAGGAAATTCTGACCCTCTTTGCTTAGGGGTCTCCTTCCTTTCAGTATTTTAAAAAATATTTGTGAGTCACAAGAGGCAAGAGGTAGGAAATGATATATCTAACAGAGCTCCCAGCTCTGGCAGAAAAGCATTATTAAGAGGACACTATCAGGCTTTGTGAATAGAGGAAAGATCAGGAAGTGCTGGGTGACTTAATCTCTTGTGTCCCACCTATCCTATGAAGGTTCTCTTTTACTAAAAGAGCTAGATCAAAGCTCCTAAAGAGGCTTCTGCTGTTAAGTTTCTCCTGAAAGCTGTTGACCTTGAGACTGGAACAATTAAATGAAATGTGAAGCACCTCCTCAAACAGGTATTTCTCCCTCTCTGTCCTACATCACCTAACCACACAGTAGTATGAAGTTACACACTTGGGAGAGCTTTTTGTAATAAAGAACGTCCTGAACTGCATGAAGATACTGCCCTGACACATACTTTTTTCCTCTCGTCTTAAGTGGACGCATACCCTGTAAGTCCCAGGAATGAATGTATGAGCCTCCCATATGTATCTCCCGTATGTATGATAGAGACAAAAACCAGATTGGACAGGCACGCTTTGAAAAGCAGCTGCTGTATCAGGTATGCAATGTGAGACTCTGAGAATTGTTTTTCTGAATACTAAATGTGGAAAATATCAGTTGAAACTGCACTTAGCCCCTCTGAAGAAATCAGCTTCTGAATGACTTCAAGTCAGCAGTCAAATTAAACAGCTTCATATTAGAGATAATGAAAATACATTGCTTAAAAATAATCTGATCTTTTATGTTCCTATTCAAAATCCACCACTACAACCTCCTGTGCAAAAAACTTGTAAGCATGCTTGCAGTGTACATGTCCTACATGTGCAGAGATGTGCAGCCAGATCTTTGGTCACTTGGCAGGCCTTTGCTCAAGTTAACTGGAGCTGTACCAAATCATAATGGTGAAGAGCTGGAACGGACTCCTTACAGCCTTCTGAAAAAGGCAAGTTAAATAGCTTGCATGCACCTGGAGAGATTAATCTCCATGTTTTTCAAAATACGAAAACTGTATTTTCTTTGAGGAGTGGTCCTTCACAAAACTATTATGCTGGTACTGTGCCAGCAGTAGTTTAATTCCCACCATCTCTGCTATCTGTGAGTAGAGAAGATACAGCAAAAGGAAGACAATTTTTTTTTGTAAATATTTTTCTTAGAATGGCATATCACTTTAATTTTTACATTTGACAAAGGGCTTCTACTTGTAATTTATCAGAGGAAAACAAAAAGTAGTGACAAATCCCATTGTGTTACCAACCAGAGACAATGGTTGCTGGCCTCTGCAAACAATACATAGTTAGAGGAACTTACTGTGTTCCATTTCGTAAATGTGGCACAAGAAGTGAGTTGCAGCAAGAGCATAGCAACTTATAACTCTTGATCACTTAAAGATTTGCCATTAGCCAATTCTACAATAAATTAACTAGAGAAGTGTAAAGGTTGTTTTCAACAATTTCTAAACACCCACCACGAGGAACTACGGAAGACGGTTCATCTTTCCACTTAACTTTTTTACTTACCCTATGATGAAACTTTAATAAGTACAAAGGCTGGTCAATACTCCCAGAACTGAACGCTGTGCACCTGTGTAACCAAGAAACACATTTCACCTGTCAGAAAACAACCTTTAAAACACTTCAGACATAAACTTTCTTCAGCTGCTTACCTGCGTAGGTTCCTGTTTGCCAGATTCAAAAAGTAGCCTTCACAAAAGGCTACTGGTGTTTCAAAAGGGATCTGTCACCTTGCCAAACGTTTAAGTGGCAGCAAACCCAGCAAAGATACTTTCAAGTTTCCACAGAGAATTCTGAGTCTTGATTTAGCTCGACTTCGACAGTGCACCCTGTGTCTCATCAGTTATCCAGCACAGGGCTACTCTCTGCCTTCCCGAAGTGTGAGTTATTAGCACTGCCCTGATCCTTTCACCAAGTGATCCCTGTATCTAATGCGGAAGGAGTCGGTCAGAGGAGAAAGCACCAGTATACCCCAGTTGCTAGGTAACAAACAGACTACAAGCAGGGAGATCCTGACCTGAATTCTTAGTGGAGGCTGATGTTGCTCAGGAAGCTTAGCTGGGTCCCTCCTGGAAAGGGAACGCCATGCCAAAAAGTTCCTCCAGGCTTTGCAAAGGCCATGGTGTAACATCACGCAGGACAAAGGGACAGCAGCTGCTCTATTTTTATGACAAAAAGGCACCTGTTCTGAAAATAGGAACGCATGCAAAAATGCTCCTTGTGCCAATGAAACTAGAAAATTTTTAACATTAAAATAATATCCTCCTATTTCAAATCTGGTCATTAGATAAAGTGGAAGAAGCTACTCATCATGTGCACAGCCTCAGCATTAACAAATGCAATGACAGAATATTAAGCATATGAAAGTAAAAAAATAAATGTTATCCCAGACACGTATGCTATGAATCATAACACAGAAAACTGAAGAGAAGCAAATCAGAAAGTTAATGATGACAGAAGAACTCTTCATTTTCTGTCCGTGTAAATATTTTAAGTTACTGCCATGGCACTATATTAATTACTCTATTCAGCTTGCAAACTCCTTAGGATGTGTTTTCAAAAAGATGAAAAGTAAGGGCTGAGCTATACCCAAAGTGCCTCTGGGTCCCTTGGATGGGGTATACCTGACCTTAGTCAACCTGTATAGTGAGTGGAAGGAAATTATGCCTCCTCATATGCAGCATAATATAAATGTCGAAGACGCAATTATCTGGAAAAAAATGCCTGTTTCCTTTCTACTGACTCCAAGGAACATCTTGGCAAAAACAGCATAAAAGCAATGCTGTGAACACCACACGTGGCATGGCTCCCACAGGCTGGAGGGGCTGGGAGGGCTCAGGGGTATCAGTGCAGAAACAAATCTTTTCATTCCAGCTGGCTGCTTCGCATCTGGGCACATTCTCACGTGTGGGCAGCTCCCTCCTTGCTCAAGTAGGTTCTGCCAGTCCCAAATAGGAATATCTATGAGGACGTGCAGCTCAGCCAGGGCAGTAGCTCCCCTATCACCTTTGTAGGGCACACTCTCTGCAGGAGAGATTTGCAGTGGGTATACCTGCCACCCAGCAACCACATGGACAAAAGCTCTTTTAAAGAGCGGTCTCAGGCACAGAAAGACTGGCCTGTCACATCTAGAGAAATCCAGCTATGACCTTAAAAGGACATTACTCCACAGTAAACTTTTATCTGGTAGAAACAGAGTAATACTTTAATGGAAAGGAAATGCACACAAGTGTCTTTGCAGAATGCCAGCCCAGCTCAGCTGTACAATGGCACACCTAATGCACGTAGTGTGGCCCCAAAAAAGACAGTCCTTTTCATATAGCCAGGTTCAGTGTGTTCAGCACAGGCTCCTGGTCAGAAAGCAGTCTCTTAGCTACGCTTGAAATCTCTCCCTCCCCCAAAAATGTCCATATTTACTCAGGGAATCAGTCTATCCCTGCAGCAATTATAACTGTCCAAAAGCAGATAAGTATTAAGGTGCTTCAAGTACCTTTCTGAACAAGTGCCAAAACCCATCACATTAATAGGAAAATTATAGTTCTTTTGTTCATTTCCCTTCTCTCATTTTATTGCAGAAACAGGAAGAGCTCAGTGTTAAGTCCTATCCCAAAAGCACTTAAATTTTCAGACAAAATAGTTATGGATGTCATGACCTGAATTCAGCAAAGCTGAATTAATTCAGGCTTTAAATAGAGTCACAATAAAAAAAACCCCAAAACATATAGATAACCAAGAGACATTGGGAGGAAACAAACCGAAATTTTAAGATGTTAAATATATACTCACTTGCTGCTAAAGAAAAGCTGATTACGTAACAAATCTAAGTGCAAATTGGACATCATAGCTCTGTGAATTGCAACTGATTTTTAAGTAGTCCAGATATCCTGAAACAATTTTCTGACGAAAGGCCATCTTACAGATATCATCACCAGAAGGCAAAACAATGCAGGGAATCTGCTCACAGAAATATCTGTATTTTAGACAGCACTAGACTAATTTTTTTACTCCAGATTCCGCTTTTTGGTACTTTAGTGCATCTTTTCCTACAAATTCTTCCAAATGTACAGCAATGCAACAAGCTGACACTAAATAGAAGAAATTAGAGAAAACAGAAGAAGCTTGGCAAAATGAAAGGTGCAGCCAATATAAGCTTTTAATAACAAGGTCCTTAACAGAGGTAAAAAGAAATTAAAAGACACAAGTATGGTAGATTTGAGAAGAAATGGAGAATTGCTGAGTGTGAGAGACAGGAAGAGGGAAAACCTCTCAGGGGCAAGAACTTAGATGTGAAAGGGGTGAAGGAAGATGAGAAAAATACTTCAGATTTTTCTGAATACAGACTGAAGGGCAATTGTGAGGACTGGAGAGAGAGCCATGGGAGATGCTTCAGGTAAGTGCCAGAATCCAGTGATCTCCTTGCCACAGATGAGCAAATGGCTTAGTTAGTGATTTGCCATTGACCCTCTTGGCAAAGCTACTGTAGGGTCCTTGATTTAAACTTCTCCTGTGCAGAAAAGCAAGTGCAAATGGTACATGGACTAGAGTGATAACAGACAGTTAAACAATGAGAACTGCAAAACAATAAAGCAGTTCTTTATAAAAGTTAAAAAAAGGATGTAGATGGTAACAAAGCTGTTGCAAATGACGATTCCAGGGAGAGCCCAAACTGGGCATCTTTCCACTCTGAACATTTCCTCCGATCATGTCTTGAACAGCAAGAATGGGTAAGTAGTAAAATTAATCAGGGTGGGGCATAGGAAATACATTCCATGGTGTTAAAAATAACCTGTCACATCTTCCTGTTGTCTAAAGTAGCATAACTCCACCAGCTTCATTTGATGCCAGCTTAAGACCTGATCAAATGCAATGAGTAAGAGGAAGGTGGCAGTGCCTCTTACATGTTTGCCTTTGCCCACAGGTAGGTTTCAGAAAAGTGTGTCTATTCCAGGGGAAGATGCTTAATAAAGGATTTGATCTTCCTGATAAATACAGAAGGATGCTAGAGTACCTGTCAAACGCACCTTGCAACAGAACACATTTTTAAAAATTTGCTTTACTCAGCTCTATTTTTGTAAAGCCATGTAAAACAGACAGTTCTAAATTGCTTGACTTCAACCACTGGAAGTCAAACACTGGTGTACAAATCTCACTGCAAAAGTGTAGTATCGCAGTGATTGAGATCGTACGTAATCCGGTCACATCTCCGCACACATCAGGAATACAGTGCCGAGAAGCCTCCCGGTTGTTGAGCCGCAGAAGGAGCTGCGTGAAGCACTGATTCACGCTGATGAATTGTAACCAAGCAACACTGCCAGCATCTCTCCAGCCCATTGTTCAGCTGAGCTGGGGAGAATAGCAGCAGAACAGCACTGAAAACCTGCCAGACTTCGACTTCAATTAAAGAATACTATCCCTCTAACACTAGATATAGTAAATTCTTTAACCAAACTTTAACAGAAATAAACTATTACTTCCCTCTCAGTAAAAAGATTATGATACGCCTGAAGGCAGCAAAATTATTTCTGTGCCTCCATGACCTCTTGTAAATCAACTTTACAAAAGAAACAGTTCAAATTTACTTTACACAAAAAATGGAGGGCAATGAATTATTCATCTAAGCAGAGGGACAGAAATACTGCCTTTTTGTTGGTCTGGCTGTTGGACGCTGAGGGAAACTAAAGACAACTTTCTCAGATACAGTAACTAATCAGTAGCAACACAGATGAGGTGGAAAGGAAGTAGATACTTGAAAATTTTGTTCAACCTTTTCCCATACAAGCGTCTGACACCAATAGCTAATGCACATAATACAGCTACTACACCAATGATATGAACCTTATTATCAACACAGGCATTAAAAAATTAGGTTGCAATACTGACATTTTTTCCTTTTATTGCAGTTAAGTCTGAGTGGTTGGATTATTTGTCCTGTTTAATGCCACCAGCCTGGATATCTAGAAGAAAATTCACTGTAAAATTATCCACTCTTGCTCTACATGGAAATAAGAAGACAACACAGTCTGCCAACAAGACTGTTGGTTTCTAGAGAACTTAAATTTTTCAGATGTCCCACAGTATCCTCATTTCACCAGAAAAAAAAAAATCACATGTATAAATTAAGAATAAGATACAGAATTGACTTGTTCTTGTAACGCAAATGACAGGCTAGCAGCTGCAGGCATTTCTCAGAGCACAAAAACCAAAAGCACTGACCTGTGAAACAGAAATAGTAATAACATCTGCTAGATTCCTGGGCTCTGAAATCACATTCCCTGAGAGCAAGTTTCCAAAAGGAAGGCTGGGCACTTATGTAAGATACCACTTCCCTTTTCAATGGATTATGCTTCTCTTTTGAAACTTTACTTAAAAGACGGAGTGTAAAACCACATATATCTTTCTTCTCCAGGAACTAAAGTAGTAGAGCAAAGCTACAAACTGTCATGGCATTGGCATAAAAATAGATTTATTAATGTCTCCCCAAATCTGTGATATCCTAGAAGGGCTTGGGTTGGAAGGGACACTAAATATTAGCTATTTCCAACCACCCTGCCATGGGCAGGAACACCTTCCACTAGACCCAGTTGCTGCAAGCCCCATCCAACCTGGCCTTAAACACTTCCAGGGATGGGGCATCCACAACTTACATTAGATCACCCTCTTTCCTTACTCCCTGCTCTTCTTTCTAGTCCTTTTTTACAAACCAGGTTCCTAGATATGATCTTCTCAATCCCACCATAGGGAAACCAAATAGTCCCGTATTCCTTATTTTACATAGAGTATCACCAGGATTTCACACAGGCAGGAATGCTGCTGCTTGGGCTCTCTCTGCTTGGCAGTTTAGGGTCCTTCTTATAAGCCCTCAACACTGTCACAGGTTTTGACACTATATAGTACTCCCTAGAGGGTCAAAGTCTGCTCTCCCATGGCATGAGTT